TCAGCATGAACCAAAACGTCCCTGGGTGATCAGCGCTGTTTGCGGCACAAATCCAAACCGTAGCCCCATGCTCGCTACTGCGAGGAAAATGAACTCTGTCCCAGCCAAACCCAGCACACCTATAGCAGCAGTAGTGTCATACACTTTTTCAGTAACGCAGATGTAGTATTGGACAAGCCATCAATTCATTATTTGTTTTGCATAGAGTTGATTTGTTCAGAGTTAAATTTAGAGTGGTTCCATTGAAAGTGGTAGGTGTTTGACGGTTTACTCAAGTGAATTTGCCCGGACTTCACCCTATGTATTTTTATTTCCTTGAAGAGTGTTGGAAGGGTATGCAGCATGAGCTGAAGTCTTCGGCGGTGTCTTTCTGGGTTGTGTCTGTCTCTTACTGCTGGTCCTATGGCTGTCTAAACCATGAAGTGAACCAGTAAACATGGCTGTAAGTGCAGTCAGACAAGTGTGGAGGACAAATGGTTGCCCCTAGTTTGGCTTTCTCCCACTCCTGAACTTTTGATGTATGATTTTAAGTAACCAGTTTGAAGTGGCTATAGCAGTTTCTGCATAATTTGATCAGATAAGTAATAAATGGTTTGTTTGTTTTTGTTTTGTTTTTTTTTCTTTCTTTCTGTCTACAGGAACACCAGTGTACTCAGTAGCCTGGGGACCTGATTCTGAAAAAGTTCTCTATACTTCAGGGAAGCATCTGATTATTAAACCTCTTCAGCCAAATGCTAAAGTTTTGCAGGTATCATTAATACATTAAGGTTGTCTCACACTTCCACATGAAAACTGTTTTCAGTTATCTAGAGTTTTGCCAGCCATAAAATGATTGTGCTAAAATTTTCCATGCAACACGTGTACCACTCATTTCCCCCCACCCCCTCCTTTTAGGTTTTTTTGAGAATAAGGACATTGTTCAGTTCTCTAAACTAAAAAAAAAAAAAAAATTAGACAATTTCTGCTGTGGATATTCTTTGGGCATGTGATTAAGCATTTCCCTTTTTATAAATAAAGAAAAAGCAAAAAGATACAGAAGTCTTTCCCTTTTCATTTGTTACAAAAAGGCAGAAAGATAAGAAGCAACTGTTTAGAACATGCTTTTAGTGCAGATTATTATGCTTTCATTCTGCATTGTTCAAGCTGTATTTATTTTTCTGTAGAAGAGATGATGTCTGTGCATTTGTAATGTTGGAAAACCTCATCTGCATTGGAGTGTATGAATACTAGTAAATGATGAATGATAAATATTAAAAATAGAAGTTGGCAGACTCGTTGCATCTATGCTTAATTTATTTTTTTCTGTTTCAGTGGAAAGCCCATGATGGACTTATTTTAAAAACTGACTGGAACTCGGTTAATGATCTTATTCTTTCTGCAGGTGAAGATTGCAAATACAAGGTGAGTGCTGGTTAACTTTTTAGGGGAAACTAAATGACCGAAAAATATATTAGGCGTTCTGACATTTTCTAATTTTAATAAAACTTGGAAGCTCAAATTTAAGTGAGAAGTCTTTCAGTTTTCAAGAAAAACTTGTTACCCTAAGTTGTATTATTTGTAGATACATCTCACTCTGAGTAGGAGCATAAAATTAGAACTGGTTTGGGGTTTTTGTTTTTTTTTTTTTTAAAACACAGCAGAATAAGAATAGGTAAAATGCAAGTGAACCAAACTCTGGAAGGAAAATATGTAGAAATATAGAAATGATTGCTTGAAATGGTATAAGCTATGACATATACTGAAAAAGGTAATGACATATAAAATTAGAGGAGATAAAACTACTGTTTTCTATTACAGAAGCATTAGTGAATCCCTTAGGAAACTTTTTGGTTAGAATATTCTGTATCCAAAATGGAAAGCGCATACTGTGTTTCTCCCCTTAAGTAGGAACTTATCTTTGATTTTATCATATGTTGGTTCTATCATTGTCTGAGTGTATAATGGCTGTGATAAAAATGTACACAATTAAGAAATAAAAAAAAAAATTATCAAAGTGTTAACATCAAATTACTTCACTCTGTGAATTGGCTTCCTGGTATGCTGTTGGCTTCAATCAGTGAGAAAATGTCTTTTGGTCTAGAAATTTGCAGAGGTGCCTCCCATTGTTGGGAAACGAGTGCAAATAGAATAAACCTTGTGGTTGTTTTACAGACTTACAGTAATTTGCAGGAAACAAAACTCATTAGTTGAAAATATTTTATACAGAATAATGTAACATTTGCCATAGCAGCAAAGCAAAGTCTATTGCATTAAACAAACCAATATTGATTAGGAGCAACCTTTAATGAAAAGTGAACTATAATATATGCAATTTTTCTAGTTACACAAAAAGGCACTGAAATAACTTAAGATCTTGAGTATATTTCTGCAACTTCTGTGATTGTGAGGGAAAATGGTAGCTCTAGAATAAGTAAAGGTATGCCCAAACTATATATAGGTATATATTTAATTTTTTTTACAGGTTTGGGACAGTTATGGACGTCTACTGTATAGCTCACAGCCCCATGAATATCCTATAACATCTGTTGCCTGGGCTGTGGATGGAGAATTATTTGCTGTGGGGTCTTTTCATACTTTGCGTCTATGCGATAAAACTGGGGTAAGTAACAATTCTGAGAAATAGCAGATGTGGAATTGTACAAATTTATTGATAATACAGTAAATATTCCTGAGGATATACATGTATAGGTGCGTGTTTTTATTAGCAAAAACTACTCGTGACTTCCAGCACCTTTCTACTGGGTGTGTCTGATGAAGGTATTGCCTTCTTGATCTGCTTAGCTGCACTTCCAAATATGTTTTGGGCTGGATAAAATTTTTTTATAATATTTTACCTTTCAGGACATTAAATGATTCTGTGCATTTTGTAGCTTTTTCCCTTAAAAATACAAAGAGTTTACAAGCATCTCTTGTAAGACAATCATAAAATGCAGTTATTAACCATAAAAAGCAAGGCGTGTATAACCATAACCTGTCTTAAAAAAGGAGGTAGAGGAACTCTGTCCTGTGCTCTTAGTATTTTTTAAGAAAAAAAGTTAAATAATAAGAGTTGAGAAGCACATCTGATGAGGAGATCACCAAATGCAATTGTCAGGCGTATAAAAATGGTAAGGCTGAAGCAGTAGTAAAAGAGGAGCTAAGAGAACATTCATGCTTCTACTTCTGATGGCTAGACGGCACATTTTTTTCAAGCTAAAGACATACTTTAATCCTCTTATCTGAGCATCTCTATTACTACTTAACTGTTGTGAGAGAAGAAAGGCTCCCAAAGGAGATACCTTTGTTTCTCTTTTTTTTTTTTTTTCCTCCCCCCCACTCCCCTTGAAGCTTTACTCCGAATTTGTTGTTGTTGACCTAGGTTTTTTTTTTCAACTTGGTCTCCAATTAAAATTAATATAATGCAGTTTCATCTACCTTCATTGGTATTCTAAGTAAGTTAGCCCAGAGCACAGAATGACCTGATTGTCTCTGTGGATTTTCCTGTGGTTCTGCAACACGAGCGGTGTTCCCCAGGGCTCTGGTTTGGGGCCAGCCTTGTTTAATATCTTTATTGATGATCTGGGTGAGGGGATTGAGTGCACCCTCAGTAAGTTTGCAGGTGACACCAAGCTGGGTGGGAGTGTCGATCTGCTGGAGGGTGGGATGGCCCTGCAGAGGGACCTGGACAGGCTGGACCGGTGGGCCGAGGCCAGCTGGGTGAGGTTTAACAAGGCCAAGTGCTGGGTCCTGCACTTGGGTCACAACAACCCCATGCAGCGCTGCAGGCTTGGGGAAGGGTGGCTGGAAAGCTGCCTGGCCGAAAAGGACCTGGTGGTGTTGGTGGACAGCGGCTGAACATGAGCCAGCAGTGTGCCCAGGTGGCCAAGAAGGCCAACAGCATCCTGGCTTGTGTCAGGGATAGTGTGGCCAGCAGGAGCAGGGAGGTGATTGTGCCCCTGTGCTCGGCGCTGGTGAGGCCGCACCTGGAATGCTGTGTCCAGTTTTGTTCCCCTCAGCACAGGAAGGACATTGGGGTGCTGGAGCGTGTCCAGAGAAGGGCAGCGGAGCTGGGGCAGGGTCTGGAGCACAGGGCTGGTGGGGAGCGGCTGAGGGAGCTGGGGGTGTTCAGCCTGGAGAAGAGGAGGCTGAGGGGAGACCTGATCGCTCTCTACAACTCCCTGAAAGGAGGGGGCAGGGAGGTGGGTGTTGGTCTCCTCTCCCATGGAGCTAGCGATAGGATGAGAGGAAATGGGCTCAAGCTGCACCGGGGGAGGTTTAGGTTGGAAATTAGGAAAAATGTCTTTACAGAAAGGGTGGTCAAGCATTGGACCAGGCTGCCCAGAGAGGTGGTGGAGTCCCCATCCCTGGAAGTGTTCAAAAATGGGCAGACGTGGCACTTTGGGACATGGTTTAGTCTAGTCTACCCTTGATTGATTTAGTGTGGACTTGGTAGTGTAGGTTAATGGTTGGACTGGATGATCTTAAAGGCCTTTTCCAACCTAAACGATTCTGTGATTCTATAACTTTTTGTTCAGACTTGTGTTGCATTGAACCGTGCTGCTTTGGGACTTTTATTGTCCCATTCTGTACCTCTTTTCTTGTTATGTTTGTTATTCTTTTGCTCAGACTGGGAAAACAGCATTTGCTGTGGTGTTTTTGGGCATCTTCAGTAGAGTATGGTTCTCCTTACCATGAATTTGGACTATGTGTTTCAAGTATTTTTACATTCATGAATAAGAGCCTTTAAAAAGTATATGAGAAGGGGCATGCAGGATAAGATCTCTGACTCTTCATATTTCACTTTCTATGCAGATTCTGGTTTCAGTGATCTTTGCTGACACAAGTAAGTGTAAGCTGGGCATTAAATTTGAAGTAGGGATTGCTTCTATTTTCTGTGCCTTTTCCTCTTACTTACTTTGAAAAATTCCTAGTGCTATTTAATCTGTATAAGTAAAATTTTATGATGATTATCTTGAAGCAAAAAAAAAGTACTCATATGCTGTTTTCTTTTGGAAAGTATTAATTTTCCAATTTTGAAAAAAGTTGTTTTATTTTGATATTGACATTTTTAAGATTTTTATGTTAAAGAGATTTTTATTACCTGTGTGTTACAAACACACTAGAAAGTTTAGAGGAGTAGAGTAGTGAGTAGAGTTGGAGCCTGAGGTATGAGCGTGTGCAAAAGGTTGGGGTACAACTTACATAAGTAAAAAAGATATTGAAGTGGGTATAAAAGATAATGAAGTAAAGAAGATAATGCTATAAGGCTGGAGAGCAGAGTGCAATTTCCATCATTTCATATTTTTCATCCTTGAAATTATTCTTTTTAAAGAAGATGTATCTTACTGTTAGATTTATCTGCCTCTGTTTTGTTCAGAATTGGATACTATTTCTCTTTGCAGAAGAAAATGGATAAATTGTCTCTATACGTACAGTCGTAAAGGTTGTGCAGTCTGCCTCAGCTGTTAGAGGATGGGACACTCGGATAGTTGTTAAGTGGCTACATCACCAGTGGGGACATCTCTTCCTCTCCCTGGCATTCCTCTGGTTGGGTTAACACTTGCTGATTCCCTTAGAAGGGTCCTGTAGAATTGCCTCAAAGCTTTTGTTCCTAGGCAAGGTGGATAGGAAGATTTTTCTCCATTTAATGTGCCACTTAACTCCACTTAAAACATAATTATAAGACCCTGACTGTCACCTTTCCATCTCCCTATATAAATATGCTGTTGTAGAATTGTTTATATACATACACCATATTTCATTTGATGAAGCCAAATAAGGTATGTTTGCATAAAGCAATTTATATTAGTGTAATTACATCTGTGTTGGACTACATTATGTAACATATATTGATTTAAACAATCAGAGTAGTCATTAGTATTTTCTTCTCAAACCAGCACTTTAAACCATGCCCTCTTCTTCCCCAACCACCTTCCATCTCCTTTCTGAGTACTGGGATCACTGAGCTATACCAACAAGTGGTAAACTGAAATAAATATACCCTTGTGTGGGTGAGGCCGACAATTTAAATTGCATTTTGCACTCAGTTTAGATTTATGCTTAAATGTGGCAAAGTCTGGTGCAATAGAAAAGAAAGAAAAATACTAGAGTTCTTTTTCTGCTGTCGTGTATGCTGTTTCATAGCGTATAGCTTTTGTTTCTGATCCCCAGGGCCTTACTGTTTTTTCTTGCCACTTATTATGTAGTATAATTTACTGTAAGTATGGTTCAAACTCCTGCTAGCTGAAAACCAGTAATTTTTTAATCAGCATTTAATATTGAACAGGCTTGTGGACTTTGTTTGAAATTTTAATGCAGATAGGTTTATATTTTCATAAAATTAAGGGTTCTTTAACCTGGTTTATTACTCCTTTCTTAAAGAAACGAAGACATGTACAGTAGCTAGTGCCAGATGCTTTTGTCTGTTTAGCAGCTAGCAATGATAATTTATTCTCTTCAAAAGTCACGATTTTCCGTGAAAGTTTCTTTCCTGACATTAAATGTAAATAGTTACTAAAGAACTAGTTTTGCTGGTATTGAGGGAAAAGGATGAATGATTCACATACCACCAGAGTGATGGAGTTTGAAGAGAACCAGACCTGGCTTTTACTGGTCAACACAGACATTTTTATTATGTCTGATGTAATGGAGCTGTATTGGCAGATTGCTCCTCAGGGAGCCATCAGGCGATATATATATCATTAACTCTTCTCTAGCATATGTGTTTAGTTTGGGGACATAATTAAATTAAATCCTGTTAGTGTATGTTCTTTTCTCCTTTTCTTTCTACCTGGATGCTTTGTTCTAGCAGCTTCATGTTAAAAAAGAAAGCTACAGGTATAATAGTAACTTTTAGAAGTTTTATTTCTTCATTTAAAAATCGCTTTTGCTCTGATAGCATCATGTATCTAAAAGAAATTATTAAGGCTATCCTGCAGAATACCAAGCAAAATATATTTAATGTTGAAATATGTTGTCTGCTTTAGTGTCCGTGATCATTAATCCTGCAGAGTGCTGAGATTAATTTTTAAGTATATATATTGAAATGTAAAGCTGGATGTATTGATGGATAGACTTTAGCCTTCCTGTTGCTCACAGCTTTTCAGAATCTAATCACTTGGATGGAGGGCAGTGCTTAAAAAGTTCATTTATGTAAGCTATTTCCTGTGGCTCGGCATGCTTCCCTTGACATTGCTGATCAGGTCAAAATATTTACACAGTAAGAGATGGTAAGAATGACTGAAATTCCCCGATTTCCTCCTTTCCCACTCCACTCCCACATAAGCAGCTTAGAAAATGGACCGTACCCATCTGCTCCAAAGACAGGTTGCTTTCCCAGTGCCTTGGAGAGTGTAGAAGGATAATTGACAAAAAACTTTAAAGAGAAACACAGTGGTCAAATTAATCCTTTTAGAATTGCCAACAAAAGCTAGCAAAGAGGGAATCACATTTATGTTTTAATTAACACTGAACGTATTTATGCATTTGTTTCGGGGAGGCCTTTTAGATTTTCTTCCATTAAGGATTTATTTACCCTTAGCGGGGATTGATCAGTTTGATTTGATTTTTCGTTGTTTTTATTTTCCAAATTAATTGTGCTCTTCGTGTTAAACATTTTTT